ATTATGGCATCGTAACCCCTGCACTCCTGTGGTTTCTATTCTAACGACGTCCTCGACGCCCCGGAACAGTAGGGTACACGAGGACTCGAATCTGAAGATCTACCCTGTGAAGAACGCAACTCCACACGTTCGTTCGCCAACTCGAAGACCTCGACTCTTCGTTGGTTTTTGGCCGTTGGATCCCTTCACCGGTAGATCCGAGTGGTTTTCACCAGCCCTCGTGGCGGTTTCCACTCACGAGGATGGTTCTTTTTCCTTTCTTCACTGGAAGGTTTTTACCACTCGACCTCACTATACCAGTCTCCGTAATATCAATATATTCCGGAGCAGGTCGTGAGCAGCCTTCGTGGCCTCACTTCCACTTCCTGCCTCTCGGACACACTCCTCATCGGGTGTGCGGTTCTGGTTCTTCCTCTTCTTCCTCTTTCTCTCTGCCGAGTGCTTCACTAGCCCAGCTGCTAGTTTGTTATACCCGAGGTCACTACCGGGAATGCAGTTGCCGCGACTGTGGCACTCAGCCTCCCGGATTCCCAAGCAAAAATGCCAACGCCAGGACCTCTGGCTTTATATTTGGCTGCGCTTGAACACACATGTACGGTATCCACGCGCAGGTGTTTAGTAGAGCCACGAGCCTACCCACCCACTCTCCAACCAAGATTCGTAAAAGGTTGTGCCGGACGTCAGCATTTTCTGTGGGCTGGACGTCACTGGCTGGACGTGAACTTTTTGCGGGGCCTTGCTCCTACCAGCTGCCTCGTTTGGCAAGGAGGTGAGCGTAGAAGTGTGGGATAAGAACACGCAACCAAAAGAAACTGTTGAGTAGATCAATGAAGCGATATGTGAAGTCGCCAGCGTCGATTGGACGACAACGAGGAAGCCATTGTCGGCGATGCGGTCCCATGACTTCGGTTCAGTATCAGGACTAGTAGAGGTGCCAGGCGGTGCCTGCTATTCGCTTATCCAAGTACCTCGCGACGTAGTTACGCGTATGTCTCTGTTGCGATTAGTGCCGAATGTACTTTCTAAGCGAACACAGAGGCGGAGAGTAGGTTTAGGCTCAAAAATGCGGTTGCATCTACTAATCGCGGGCGCGTAATTACGTGACAGGGCAGTACGTTGATCGGCTGCTGGAGGCCCTTGATATCGCTCAGTGTTTGATTGTACCATGGCCATCCTCGTCTCGGCACACCAGCGTGACGACGCTCTGCACCCGGCGCCGACGTGCACAGAGCCCGTATGTCAACACTGCGCCAAGAAGCCCAAGCTGGGCGATTCTCCGAGCAAAGATGCCTCTACTGCAAGCAAGCCGAGTCCGATACACAGAGCACCAATGCCACCACGCCCGCCAAGTCCCGTACTTCGACCCACGACAGACAGCAGCGTTTCCCTCGAGAGCTTTTGGACCGACGACATTCCGCAAGAGACTATCGAGAACGTCGAAGACGAGATTCGAAGCTGGCGCAACGCCATCTTGCGGGGCGAGACGCCCGACACGTTGGAATCGTGTGAGCGATGGGAGATCATTGATGACGGCGACGGCGGCGACCCAACCTTTCACGATTGCATCGAGTTCCTCTTGGATGCTATGTTGAGCCCGGACAGAGGGCCGCGACCCGTTGCTAGCATATAATGATGTCCGATTTAATTTATCGAGCCTAGTCCTCGTGCCACTTTGAAAATTTGATGCGTGCAACTCGAGTGCCAACCTGGTGTAGACATACCAATTTGATGTTTGGACTCGAGAGCGTTTGCTGTGGTGGAAGAGTGGACCCTAAAAGACTAATTGAATAAGGGTCATGGTTATGGCACACTCGACAAACTCGATATAACGTGCGTGGGAGCTATGCGCGGGGGATGTTGGCACAGCAGCCACTATACAAGCAGAGCTGACCGCATCTGTCTACTTTACAGCAAGAAATTTGCGTCGAATACTATGGTAAACATATTGTGCACATGTGCCACATGTATGCTACGCAACTCTGTCGTGGCACGCCAGCAGAGAGCCTCCGCGGCCTCCACGATTCGAAAATACGTCTCCGGTTTAGTATCCGATTTGCACTCCATAACAGTGCGTGCTAGTGTACTTAGTCGCTTGTCGATCGAGGTTTCCATGCGTCGCACATCGTCAAGGGACGAGGCGTCGTGCACCTCGATACCATTTTTGCATCGGTTGCCTTCGGCCGGGTTCTTGCTCGCAGGGATGTGGCGCCAAACTTCGCGGAATGTCGCTGCGTGCGAAACAACAACCGCATCTAGATACTCTATTGGACCAGAGGAGACTGTACTTCCCGTACGTAGCACCCAAGAACGGCCCGCGAAGCGACCTCGCCCTTCGAATCACAATCACCCCGCAGTCTTCTTTTGCAATTTCAACCGCCAATCAAATGCGTCCTCCAACGTAGATTGATGGTCTCCAAAGTACGATGCTGGTCTGTAGCCCATCATTCCGCATTTGCACCCGCGATGTAGCGTGGCGTCATTACTCAATCTCTGCTCTCCAGACCATCACCATCGTCACCATCATGTCGTCGACTGTATGCTGCTTTAACGGCTGCCTTAACGCACCGCTTGCGCCGTCGGACAAGTGCGTCTTCCATCGCAACCGCGCCCAGTGCCTCGTCGACGGCTGCGTCAACCAAGTCTATGCGCGGCACCTTTGTGTCCGCCACGGCGGCAAAAAGACGTGCGCCTTTTCCGAGTGCACGTCGCATGCGCGTATTGGCAACTACTGCGTGCGCCACAGCAAAGACGCGTCCAAGCAGCTGTGCTCCGAAGATGGCTGCGCCAAGACCGCGCATCGCCGCCAAAAATGCGTGCGCCATGGCGGTGGTCGGCCGTGTCAAGTCGAAGGCTGCACGACGCATGCGCGGACAGGCGGTTTGTGCTGGCGCCACCGCAACCTCGTGCTTCCGACAACCGAGAATGGGTGTCTGCTGGAGGACCACGAGTTTCTCGCTATTTTGGACGAATGGATGACCGCCGAAGAGCACGATGAAATGGACGACCAGGTCCTGCTCAACGATCTCCAAGCACTGCTCATGGATGACTCCAGCTTTTTCCTATCGTAAATCATTATCGCCGTATTTAATCCAAATTTTGTTTGCATTTTTACTGACTATGTAGACAATTGTGTGACGATCCCCTTGCGGTCGTTGCGAATTTGCGTGCTTGTTGCCACACACAGCAAATGACGTACAGTATCAGCAGCGTCCCTGGTCACACGGTAACGTGACTAGTAGTAAAATGATTTTACTGGGCGGCGAATAGAACATACACAGTGAACGCGTTGGATTGATTTTTCGACCGATGCATCCGAGAGGTTTTGCACTAACTTCATTACGTGTCGTTCAGTGCCTCATCCGTAGCCACAAGCGTAGGGCGACGACAGAAGAGTCAGACGAGCCCCCGCGCCGCCGCCTGCGCAGCCATGGACCGGCAAGCGAATGAAGAAGGAGGAGATTGTGTAATTGCATTCGATCGCCCGTGTTTTCGTCTGCCTGTGCTCCAAGACTGCCACAAACCACAAGAAAAATACGACGTCCGACGTAAACACTGCATCCGCACCATTCGAACCGCCACACTGTAGGAAGGGGAGGATCGTGTACACCGTGGGACGCAGTCCCTTGATCCTCAACGACTCGAATGATGTATAGCTCAAAGGCTCTGGACGTTGGATTTTATCGAGTATGCAATAATCAATCTCGCGCACCATGGGCGCTACCAAAATCATTCTACTAGTATGTAGCTCTTCGGTCCTCCCAGAAACGTCACCAGTATGCTCGACGGTACCCCCGACTTCTAAACGGTATCCATGCATCTGTCGACCCTCTTGCACATGGCAGGCGAAAAGAAGATGCGCCAACCGGGATGATCATGGAGCACGGTCGTGGCGTCGTCCTGTCCACACATTCGCGCAACATATATCACATTGGCTTGCGAGAAAGATACCTCGGATACCCGTTCCTGTCAAAACGCATATGCCATATCAAGTGACAGAGGCCATATGGTCTTGCCCACATGGCCTTTCTAGTGCGCCACGGCAGTGCTCGGTTTTCACACGGGCAATTACGCTTGCAGACGACCCCGCGCGGGTGCCGCCTCGCAGGATAGAGACGCCCTTCGTATTGGCACCAGATACGAACGCGACCGACCAACGCTGTGCGGGATGTCCCAGGGACGCGCCGTGTCGCATCATAAGCTTACAAAATTCACTCGCCGTGCTGACACTGCGGCAGAACCCACCTTGACGTGCATACATGTCCACACATTTGAGCGTATCGCAGGTTCCTTCTTCGAGCAACCGACACTTGGTTATTTCCTGTGGCGCGATCCAACGAGAATGGGTGTGTGTGTGTTCAATGGCTGCGCCAAGCCCGCGACCGAGGCCACCGGCAAGTGTGACTTTCATCGGGGCCGCGCCAAGTGCATCATCGACGGCTGCGCCAATCAAGTGTACGCGCGGCAGCTCTGTATTCGACACGGAGGCAAGAAGCTCTGCATTGCGCCCGGCTGCTCCTCGAACGCGCGGTCGGGCGACTATTGCTGCCGCCACGGCGCCGACAACACCAAGCAGATTTGCTCACAAGCCGGGTGCCACCGCGTTGCGCATCTCCGACAAAAGTGTGTCCGACACGGCGGCGGGCGACCGTGCCACGTACATGGCTGCACGACGCACGCCCGGGCCGCGGGCTACTGCTGGCGCCACCGCAAGCGGGCCAACGAAGCGGTGCTGCCTTCGGTCGAGCCGGATGACCTTTGGATGGACGTACTGCAAGAGCTCGCGCGCTCCGACGCTGCCGACGAGAACGCAAGCGATTCGAGTAGCTTATGTTGAGGGTATTGGATCGACTTCACGCTATCCCGTCGTTCCATCCATTGGCGTGCGCGGCAACCACCAACCAGCGCAGTGGTCCGTCACATCGAATGGCGTTCTTTTGGCTGTACGATGGTCAACAGTGCAATGATGCCAGAGACACGAAGAGGGTCTCTAGACAGGTAACACAGTTCGAATGCTCATTTCGCCGTCGTAAGGCTCTGCTTTGTGTGGGCAGCAATGACGCGCGTTGCAGTGGACACTTGACCAAAGTCAAAATTCGCCACCAATTTTTTTAAATATGTTGGGACGCAGTGATTGGCCATGACGCACCAATCATTTGCGAGCTTGGATCCTTGTTGTGGTCCGAAGCACAAACCGTTGTATCGCCCAAGCGGAATCTCTCGTCGGCGCTATCGTTGGTCCATGGAATCTGCGGTACACCACTGCGAAAGCTCGATAAGCGGCGACCACTGTAAAAGCTGTAGTTCCTACTGATACATTGTATTGGTGATTCCAAGGCTGAGTTGGTGCAGCAGGGTACGACAAAAAACCCGACTCGTACATTCATGACATGGCACGATACCAGGCTGCAATGGCGGGTCGAGTGTACTTCTTCAACTGCGCGCCAAAGGGCTGCGCACCAAAGCCTAAGTCGATTCAAAGCAGCGCATTCGTTTTCGTCATTTGGTCGAGGCGAGCCACGTTACAAGGCGCCCATGGAGGCGCATGGTGGTCGCCGCGTATAGCTACAAGTGGTATGTGAGCTACTGCAGTACGAGTCCGATGTCACTCTCGAAATGGCACCAGGTACCTCCAGTGCGGAAATACGAGTCGGTAGCTATCAGCAAGAGCGGGGCAAGCGACTGCAGAAGGGACTCACTGTTTATGCTTGGCGTTCACAGCGAATAAAGATTGTTCGTCTCTATTGAGCAAAATACATGCAAATATACTTGTCGTCAGCTGCGATTAACACGCGTGCTTCTTGGGCACACGGCGAATGCAGTCTGAGTTGAGGTTGTGCAAGAGGTGGTCCGCGAACCGGTCGGCGTTGGCCGCCGAGATATCGGCCGCGTACGTGATACTAGTGCCAGCCTCCTTGTCAATCTTGGTCCAGCCGTCGACCGTCTTGTTGATGGGCGTGTTGGCCACCACCGAGAGCTTCTCGGTCGCAAACGTCACGAGCGTCGGGTCGACCATAATGCCGGCAGCGAGCGGGTCCCAAAAGTGGAACGTCTCAAAGAAGCGCGGGCCAAAGCAAATCGACTCGGTGACGTTCATGAGCTTGGCGACAAACTGCGCGTCCGCGGCGGTCGCGTTGTTGAGGGCATGGAGGTACGCGCGCTCGATCGGGTACTTGTCCGTGACGTCGAGACCCACGAGCTTCATGACCTTGGCGGCCGACGACGCAAAGACGTCGCGCGCGGCCTGCGGATCCAAGTAGATGTTGAACTCGGCGACCTTGTTCTCTTCGACGCTCCAGAGGTTGCCGTGCGTGTTGACGGCGCCGCCCATAACAACGAGGTTGGAGATCTTCTCGAACGTCGCTTGGTCCTTCAGCCGGAGGTGGTTAAGCGTCGTGAACGTGCCCGTCGAGAGCACTTGGGTCGTGCCAGCGTTGAGGTGCTTCTGCAGCACCTTCCAGCCGTCCTCGAGCGTGTGGGGTTGGTTCAAGTACAAGTCGCGCGGCGAAAAGAGAAACTGGTCGCGCAGATGCAAGACCGAGTCGACGTCGTTCCGGCCGCAGTCGATCGCCGGCGGCACCGAGTCCTGGTAGACGTCGCCGTGCGTAGCCTCGTTGACCATGTTGTAGGTCGCACCCGCGCCGACTTCGACACGGCCGGTAAGACCCGCAAACTCGATCGTGCGCATGACGCTCTCAATGCCTTCGTCCAAGTGCGCCCAGCCGTCACCGTCGACGATGACGGCCGTGACGTTGACCGTCGGCTCCTTGAAGAGGTACAACAGCGCCACAATGTCGTCCATGTCGGCATCGATGATCGCGATCGTCGGCGTCGCGCCTGGCTGGGTGCACGTGTTGATCGTCTCGACGTCCTCGTTCAAGATGTTGGTCGGCTGGTCAAACTTGCTGCTAGCAGCAACAAAGCCGGCGGCGAATGCGGCGACGGTAGCGAATAGCTTCATTGTGGAAGACGAGGCAAAAGGAAAAGTGAGTGAACCGATCGTGCGTCTGCTCTAATGAAGCAACGAGGTCCACGAACGTGTTTGCGAATGTCCTCGATTGCTCTTTTCGAGATGTCCCAGGTGGCGACCCGCGGAAATCGAGTGGGACAAGCCTCGTGGCGGCGCTCGAACTATTGCACTGGATGGTAGTACCGTTTCGACTCGTATTCATTATTGACCCACGAGCTTTTGAGCACCGTGTGTTGTGTCGACCGCCTGACAACCGTGCAGAAGGACAACCTGGTGCTCGAACGGTGGCCAACGGCCGGTATGGTCAACAGATGTTGCGGATCTCGGCCCTCTCTGACTCGACACGACATGAAAGCGACGGTGGCGCTGCCACGTGCGCTAGTCTACAAGTGCAAGCGACTGCAAGTTGCAGATAGTTTCGAAATAGATCGTGTCACGTGCCCGCCCCTTCCAGTGCTCGAGTGTAGTATTATACTCCTGCGAGACAAAACCAAACAAAAATGGAGGTCAACACGAGCTGGACGGTCGCTGTCCAAGATCGACACAGGATTTCTGCGCACCCACTGTTACGGTGCCACGGGGTGTCGCGCAGTTCGAACGCTCACCGTCCATTCCCAGCGCCCTTGGATAACCTTGAACTAGCGTCCTGAGATTTGGAATTCCCACCGACGTGTTACGGGTGCGGTGAAATCGTGTGAGATCCAGCCGCTAAAATTCATGGACAATCCCTGTCTTGATCCATAGATGAGCTTCAAATAGCAGTCACGCGGCACATGAACACGATGCCGCGTCGTGCTGCAGCTTGGATAGCATAATATCCGAGTGTCCAAGGACGGTGCAGACACATTGCTCATACCAGAGCATATAAGTTGCTCGTTTTTCCGAGAACCATCATCAGAATGTCGCCGTCAAAACCATTACGAGGAGCGATGTGCATCAACTAGAGGCTGCTCGTATCCACATAAACAATGTTGGCGGACGGACACTTGGCAGAGGGCTAGAGCAGTGCACCAGTACACGGTACGAAATTTGAGACCCGTTCGGCTTCAACGTTCACCTTGATTGCACCGATGCCGTTGCAAGGACATGCGCCAAGCCCACGATACGAGGTGCGCACATGGGCGTTGCACAAACAAGGCGTACGCAATGTCCGTGCGTACCCCACTCGTTTCAAGCGTCAAGCGCGAACCTAGCAACGCAAGAGGCCGTCGGAAGGATATAGAGCGCTCTGCACTTGATTTCTCTGCTCGCTGCTCTGCGAGAAACATACTTAATACAGAGAAAATTGTACGTTAAATAGGCATCCTCGTATTTCCAGCGCAAAGGCGACCTTGATTCGTCGCATCAACCAAGCATCTACGTGAACACTGGCGTTTGAGACCCAGCAAACGACCAACGCGCTGTATCATTGGCCACCTTTTTCGCCAATCACATACCATTAAGAAAACATTTTATTAATTAATGCTTCTTAAATATCCGACGAGACCATCAGCGCGCCGTCCGACATAGATCAAGCACATCGCTGGTGCCATCAGCAAGGCGCTAGAATTGCTTGCTATCGACTTGGCTGCAACCGGAAGGGAACGCCTTCGCGACCGCGTCCAAAGTACGAGTACGTACGTGGCAGCATCGGCCGAGTATCCGGATAATCATGCCCGTCGACATTTTCGAGAACCTCATGCGCCAGGCCATCATCGGTCGCGCATGGCGCCCGCTCGTCGTCGCCGGCCCGCTCGCGTCGCTGGCCGTCGCGCACTGCGCAAGCAGCCGCAACGACCTCTCGGACGTACGCCACGCTCATACAACCCAACGCTAATGTCCGCTGCTTTAGACTCTGCCAGCAAGCGCGATCCCAACCTTTCTCAAGCACGAGCTCGACGCTGTCCGCGCCGATATGGGCACGAACGCGCCAAAAGTCGCAATCAGCACGCTTCAGCACACGCACAAGCTAGCGTTCGCCGTGCCGCACGACGCCAGGGACAAGGTGCTGCATGCGTTCGTGACGCAGGTCCATGCCAACGACACGTCGGCCGCTCTCGAAGTCGTGCCCTCGTCCTCGTACGTCCTTATCTATGTGCTTTTCTCACATCGCCATGTTGTCTATGGCTGCATGTAGCGCGCCGCCGTCGCTTGACTATGTTTTTACCGACGGCTCGGGCTCGGTGCAGGTCCGCAACGACCACTTTGTCCTCTTCAAGGACGAGCCAATGACCAAAGGCGACCTCGTCGCGTTCGCAGCAGCGTACCGCGCATCGAGCGGAGCGCCTTGCACTTGTGTCTCTCGAGCAAAGGCGCTCGAGGACGTGGCCAAGCTCGGGCTCGTCGTCTACGATGGCGACGGCGTCTTGACGTGGGATTCACTCGCGGGCTACGACGCGGTCAAGGCCGAGATCCAAGATACCGTCGTCCTTGCGCTGCAAAACCCAGCGCTGTACGATGCGATCGCCGAGCGCACGCGCTGTCGGTACGAAGCATCGGTGACACACCCGACGCGACGCGGTCTGTAGGTACGAAAGCAATCGACCCCGCGCCATCTTGCTCGAAGGCCCGCCCGGCACGGGCAAGACGCTGAGTGCGCGCATCGTGGCGTCGGTACGTCTTCCTTTGTGGACAAGTTGTCTTGATAATGTTTGATATCTTGATACGTAGCAAGCCGGCATTCCGCTCATTCACATTCCGATTGAGAGCCTCGTCTCCAAGTGGTACGGCGAAAGCGAGAAGAAGATGGCGGCCATCTTTGACGCGGTCGACCAGCTCGACGGCGCGCTTATCTTTATCGACGAGGTGACGACGCGGTGTCGACGCACTCGATGACAAATGACGCACAATGTACCTAGATCGACGCACTCGCGACCGAGCGGGGGTCGGGCAACATGCATGAAGCGACGCGCCGCATGCTCTCGGTGCTCCTCCAAAAGCTCGAAGGGTTCCAGTCGGCGAAAAAAGGTACAATATTGTCAAAGACATGCCCGCCAAATGCGACTAGTCACGTTGATTGCGGCCACGAACCGCAAGCAAGACCTCGACGCCGCGTTGCTCAGTCGCTTCAACCTGTGCATCCGGTACGACCTTCCCGACGACGCCACCCGCGCCGCCGTCTTCCAGCGGTATCCCTTACATGTCGCGAACATCTATTCCACACGACTGTAGATATGCCAAGCAGTTGTCGCCGACCGACCTCAACACTTTGGCGCACCGCACCAACGGCAAGTCGTGTCGTGACATCAAAGAGGTATGGATACTGCCTCGCAATCCATTATTGCCTTTTGGTATAATACCATATTGCTAGATTTGCGAATACACTGAACGCAAGTGGGCGTCGACCGTGCTTCGAAAGAAGCAGTTGGCGACGTCGACGCCGAACGTCGACGCCTATATCGCTGCGATCGACGCGACAACACCCGCCAGTGCATTTGTGGACATTTAATGTCCAATTTAGTCAGTACTGTGCCCCGAGTCGAATCGCATACCGCGCCGCCGCATGCATCGGGTGATGTTCGGGCATGGCAGAGTGTGGTGCGACCGCAGCTATGCGCCAGAGCTTGATGTCGAGCACGTACTGGACGCCTCGCCACGGGAGCACCAGGTTGCCGTTCAGCACCGCCGAAGCCGGGTCAACGTAGTAGACGCCGTCGACGGTCCACTTGGCGCGGCAGAAAAAATAGTGGGCGCCAGCGTACATGAAGAAGGCGTCGCGCGTGCTCGGCACGCCGGTCAGCGACGTCTTGTGCATATACAAGTAGGCGCGGACGACCATGTAACTGAGCACTTGGGTCGAGAGCACGAGTACGACAAGACTCACGAGTCGACGCAACTCGCCGATCCGAATGACGGCGCTGTTGCAAACGACTTGGGCGTCGACTTGAGCGAGGTAGCACTGCAGGCCCAGCGACAGCGTATGCTGAACAGGGTCCAGACTCGTGAGTAGCGTCGCGCTGCAGTAGACGATCGCACGGTGCAGCGGTGTATATTTGGGGGTCATGGCTTGCGTCCAGACCATGCCAACGTCGTTGACGATGAGCGCGAGCCAGAGCACCTCGCTGGACGCAACGAGGACTGCGTACCACGGACGCTCGTACTCGGTGCTTGTGAAGGCAACGACGGCGCCATTTTGCACCAACGTCAGCGTCGCGGTCGAGAGCAGGCAGAGCGCCGAGACGCTTCGTACAAACAGCATCGGACGGCCGAGCCACACGATCGCGCCGACGCTCTGCAGCGAGAGGAGGTTGAGGCCCTCGACGTGCCCACGCGCGTATACCAGGTAGAGCAGCACGAGCAGCGCCATCGCAAGCATGCCACTGGTTACGTACACGACGCACGCGCGCGCGTAGTTGGAGATCGTCGTGGGCAACATACTGGCGTCGACCGCGCGCGTGCCGTACACTGTGTTTTCCGTCAAAAGCGTGAGGTTAAAGTTGTTGTCGCCCACAAACGCAACGACATCCCGCAGCCCGAGGACCCAGTCGTAGGCGTACATCCAGTTGAAGAATGGCAGCACGTTGGGCTCGAAAATGGGCGCGGTGGCGACGGTGACAGGACCCTTGCTGAGCTTTAAAAGCTGAGCGATGGAGACGTGAGAGAGCGCGAGCTCGGCGACCACCGGCGACACGTCGAGGATGGCGTCGCTGGCGTTGCGCAGGTACGTCTTCGTAAACGCGATCGCGTCGGCCATGTACGAGAGGCAGTCGATTTGGCCGGTGGTGACGACGTCGCAGAGTCGTGGAACATCCGAATCCAGCGCGCGCGAGAAGAGCGCGGCCAGAACCAGGTACTCTGGCGCCTTGCTGACCGTGCTCGCATAGTTGATGGTCGAGCAGCTCGTTCGCGCAGTGAGTGCGACGCATCCGTTCCATATTGGGTTGGGGCTAATGTTCGGGCAGAGGATCGACCCGCCTACCGTCGAGAGGTTTTGCGTGTGCCGCCAAGGGTGCGGCACAATGATGACGCTGCCCGTGGCCGCCATGGCCAAGTAGGCCGCCTGGGACGCCGGTGTCGATGCAAATACCGTGCGGAGGAGCCGGAGGCTATCGTGGAAGAGGGACTGGAGCGATCGCGGGGGCGGCACATAGAACATGTCGATCGACCCAAATGGCCCGAGGGTGTGCGTCACCGCCGATAACCCGGCGTCCAGCGGCGACAAAAGCGTCCCGTTGCTCGTGAGGAGAGACGGCATCGAGACGTTGCGAAAGGCATAGTTGGCACTCAACCGCAGCAAACTGCACCCGGCAACGCCGCTGTCGTTGCGCGCAACCGCACGCAAATCGTTGCCGAGCGCCCAGTACATCTTGTGCGACGTCGCAATGTCCCACGCAAACGAGAGATTTGTCGCCGCGATCGGAAAGGAAAATTGCATCCCAAGCGCGTTCTCCACCGCGTAGCTGTTGGAGACGCCAATCGCCTTGAAGGTTTGCCACTGCGTCGTGTAGTGCTGCAGCCCATGGGCCGTCCAGAACGCGACTTCGGCGTCCAGCGACAAGAGAGGGGCTTCGAGCGACAGGAGCCACGCCTGGCCGCGACGGGACGTGCGCAACTCGGCGGCAACGGCGATCTCGAACGCCGCGCCCCAGCAGTCGCGCCACCTCGTATGGAGGTTGCGCAGCGCCGGCTCGAGGTATACGGCGCCGTTGGTCGTCATGTGGGCCACGCAGCGCGCTTGCCGGGTCGCCGAGTTGGCCATTTCCCAACTGCGGTTCAAGTCGAGAAAACAATATTGCGTAAAGATCCACGGGAAATCACAGGCGCTGGTCGGAGGCGCGCGGCGAAAGCCCGTAATGGCCGCCGAGATGGACCGCAGCGCCGTGTACTGCAGCGTCGCGCCAAGCGAGGCCGGCACCGAGAGCGTTGCCGGTCCTGTACTTGACTCCCGGGGGCTCTGGATCGCGCCGATCGAAGGCAGCGTGAGCGACGTGTCACTACTCGTCGTCGGCGACAGCTGGATTTCCTTCGTGATCCAGTTTGCCAGAAACACATGGGTCGACGTCATGTTGAACGTGCCCCAACACATGTCATTGGCCAGGCTCACGCGGGTTAGGTCCAAGTACAATAAACCGCTGACCATGGACGCGCCAATGTAGACGACACCCGCGACTGCAAACAGCTGGTTCCACTGGTGGGGCCACTGCCACCAGTGCCGCTGGCTCAACGGCATTGTCGTCACCTGCGGCAAGACGGCCGACATCGACGCGACCGACGTGTCGACGCGTGTGCAGCTCCATAGCCGGAGGTGAAACATCTCTGAAACATGCTCTTGGCATGTGGTGCAACGCAAGACGCCGCAGAGAACGCATGCGACGACATCGTACTCGTGCACGATATTGGTGTCCAAGCACGACGCAGCGAGCGCCGAGACGACGAGGTTCCTTGGCCCTGGAAAGACCGCGTCGTAGGCGTCCAAGGCCCTTGCAACAACCGCACCGAGAACCGCACCGCCCATGCAAATCGCACCCAGCGCCAAGAACCGGCGTTTGTCGCCGATCGCGAGGGTGCCGCTGGTGCACGATAGCATGAGGTCCATCCCAGTCGTCGTGCACGAGGGCTGGAGGCTCAGTGTCGGCAATATGGGTGCGGTGACTTCATACACAACCAGCGTCAGCCACACAAAGAAGGTCACCGCACTCCGTAGCGCCAAGGTACCGGGGGCGCGGCCGCTGCTCGAGACGCAGAGCACGTCGGTCCCGACATATGTGATCCACGTCGCTTCGCCGGCAAGCACACACAATTGCAGCAGCGGGCGCGGCTGCCACTGCAAAAACGTATATTCGTCCACGAGTTGCAGCGGGTACGGCGCCGTCGACAAGAGCAAGAGCGCGGTGCCGCCGCGAAGGAGCGTGAGCGGGCGACCGACCCACGTCGCTGCCGTGAGTCGGTTGAAAAACAAGAGGTTCTGTCCTTCGATACGCCACCGGGCGCTACGTGCTGCAAACCCGACGCAGAGAAGTGCAACAAAGAGCGCAATGCAGGAGGCGTAGACAGCGAGGTACCATACAATGCGGTTGCCCATGTGAATGCGGCCGAGGTCACTGGCGGCCGCGGCTGGCACCGAAAGGCGCGGGCTCTCGCTCGAGAGGACCACATGCGTCGCAGCGTCGCCGTCAACGGCCACGACCTCGCGAACGCCAAGGACCCAGTCAAAGAGCAGCAGCCAGCTTGAAAACTGCCAGGCGAACGGCGCAGAAGACGATGCGTTCAGTGGCGCAAAAAGAAGATGCCAATTCTCGTTGGCGTCGGTCGCAAACTGGAGAAACCCAACCGTCAAGGCCATCACATCGCGAATCGTCGACACAACGGCGTCATGCATCATTGGAGGTACTGCAGGGACCGCCATTGCCGCTGCGTCGAGAAGAGTCGTGCACGCGGCGTTGCCAGCGCAGAACGAAGCGTCGGGCAGAGATCCATTCAAGATCAGCAACGTGTACAAAAGAGGAACTGGCGCCAATGTCATGGTCAGCAACGAAGCGTTGCCATCACAATTGTCTTCAAAGCTCAGCGAGGCCTGCGGGGAAGCCGACGGGCTGTTGTAGAGGCAGAGGGGGTTGCCGCCATAGTACGTGTACGAGGCGTCCCAGGACGGGACCTGCAGCGCTACAGATATTGTCGCGAGGTTCTCATAGCCAGCCGACGTGCTGAGATGCGCTGACAAAGCGAATGTGAGCTTCGTATGCAGCATGACAAGCGAAGTCGGCACCGGCAACAGCCACGGGTCTATCGAGAGGAACGGCCCAATGCCATGGTGCGCAAGGCCCGTCTGATTGATGTACGACGAGCCGTTGTTTTGAACTCCGAGAAAGTCTTCAAAGGCGAGCACGCGCCGATAGTCGTTGATCGCACCGCGTACGAGACTCATATTGAGCGCTTGGACCGTCGACCAGTCGTTGGCGGGCAGCCAGTACCAGATGACGCTGGTCCACGGACCGTGGGACGATGCAGACGTCTTGAGACTAATGGCCTCAGTCATGCCAAGCGCATTGACGATCGCGAGGCTCTCAAGGACACCGGTTCCGTACTGGTTGTGCCATAGCTGCCGGTACTCGCGCAGGCCGTGTGTGCGCCATTGGGCAATTTCATCTGCAACACTGCCATGACGCAGCGTCGTCATATGCGTGAGCCAGTCACTGCCGGCGGGCGTAGCGAGCAGCGCCGTTTGGATGGCCACGGTGAACTCGTTGCCGACGCCCCCATACGCAGCAAGAAAGGCCGTGACATTGACGTTTCGAAGCACGGATTCGTAGTACACGGCGCCGTTCGGAGCGTAGTTGTTGGCACAACGGGCTTGACGCGCGGTGGTGTGCGCGACCTCCCACGTCTTGTTCCAGTCCACCCAGCATTGCTGCGCACGTACGCCTTTGGCGTTGGTGATGTGCATCGTGCGCAACATCGGGATGACCTCCTCGAGCGATATGAGCTCGGTGAGGGCGATGCGCCGTGCGTACGTGGCGTAGTAGGTCGTCTCAGGTGGTGTCAACGACCCATAGTATGTCATCGGTATCGCAAACCTCGAGAGCGGACTCGAGACCGGCGCTGCAACGGAGGCTGTCGCCAACGCCGCGTTCGCTGCGTCAATGAGATACGCCTGGTACCCCGATTGGTTAAGCCCAGGCCAGAAGAGCACGTTGGTCAGCGACGGCGCGAGCAGCTGGAGGTAGTAGGCAGCAACAAGAAGCGAGAACAAGACGTAGGCAAAGCCAGCAACAACGTGGTAGTGGCGCGGCGTCGAGCGTGGTGCGTGGAGGTACTGAAGCGAGAGGTGTGGCCCCGCAAGAGACGTCGCAAAGGGCTTGACCGCGTTCCTTCCACGCCGCCAAGGCGCCATCCGACGATGCGTTTTGCTGGCTGTGCCAACCTGCGGCGTGTCTACAGTAACTGACAAAGAGGCGCCTCGATGCAAGGCAGCTCAACCAACGCTTCAGGCTATCGAGAATTGGTCGCTTGTACTGCAGACGAGCGCGCCTTTGCTACGCCTTCAAGGCTCCTTGCTACGCTAACAAAGAGCTCCAATCCCAAGGCGTCGAGGGCTCGTTCGCACGAGCTATCTTTGGCTGAAATCGTGCAAGGAAGGATGCAACGCACTGCTTCCGCAACGGCGCCTCGACGGCGTGCGTTGGAGTCAAGAGGACTTTGGCGGTAGCCTATTATCTGGCGATGAGTTTGTTGATACGCACCTTCGGGGATCTTTCACAACTGTTTTATAAATCAATGTAGCATATGCAGCGAACCATGAGAAAGCTCCTGCTCGTCCGCTTGTACGTGCTTGTCCGCGCTGTTGCTCCCACCACTTTGCCACGCCAGCGATCCTTGCCGATATACACTTTTAAACCGAAATAGTGTTGCGCAGTAATGCCGCATCAAGTGATATAGTGTCCGACCTACACCATATAGATCAACCTATTTAGTGTTAAATTCAAATAGTGTTAAATGACGCATTTTTACAATGCTGCGCTGTGCTGGCTGCCTGCACGGCTTCTACCCCAACTTCAAGCCGCCCTGTCCAGTGTTTACCTATCGGTGGCGCCGTGGAGTGTTCTCTGGGAAAGGGCCCGCTGGCCTATCAGAAGCGGTCTCGCGGCGACCACGTGGCTGCAAATGGCTGGTCCACATCCTTTTTTCGAAGCCGAACCAGCTCGCACAGTCGTTTTTCTCCCTCCTTCTTTGCCGCTCGGCGTTGCAATTTAAAAAAATACACGCCCCCGCCGACGATCTCTGTTTATTTGGCTCGGGTTTCGAAACGGTGCGGCCAAATTTAATTGTGTGGCGCACGCCACGCATATACTTGCGCTTTGTATGCCGCCTCGTAATTCTTTGGCTTGTCCCAACTTTTTTTCGGTCGCGTTACACATGCACTTGGTATTTGTATGTATAGATTGCAGGACGCATAAAATTAATCGAGTGTCGCAATAAAATACTACTGGGGAGGTGCACTTGGCCTGTTTGAAATTTCAAACCGGCGTCCCCGGCTGCCATTTATTGCGCCTCTGATTGGCGGAAATATCCTGAAAAGATCGAGCGGACGCGGCGTGATTGGTGGAAATACCTTCCAGCATACTGCGGATTCATTTTTCGATTTTCACCGACAACAGCAAGCGACCATGGCCCGTACGAAGCAGACTGCGCGCAAGTCCACGGGCGGCAAGGCGCCCCGCAAGCAGCTCGCCACGAAGGCTGCCCGCAAGTCCATGCCCGCCACCGGCGGCGTGAAGAAGCCCCACCGCTACCGCCCGGGTACGGTCGCTCTCCGCGAGATCCGCCGGTACCAGAAGTCGACGGACCTCCTGATCCGCAAGCTGCCGTTCCAGCGCCTCGTCCGTGAGATCGCCCAGGACTACAAGACGGATCTGCGCTTCCAGACGACGGCTATCCTGGCGCTGCAGGAAGCCGCCGAGGCCTACCTTGTCTCGCTCTTTGAAGACACCAACCTGTGCGCGATCCACGCGAAGCGCGTGACCATCATGCCCAAGGACATCCACTTGGCCCGCCGTATCCGCGGCGAACGCACGTAAACGGCGCGTATATGTGTCTCTTTTTACCCCGAACGCGATGTGCACCGCCTGTCCCGTCTTCCTAGTACGAGCAGCGCTGCCAGCGACGGCAGTGCGAAGCGAACGGGTTTATATATTTTAAAGCAACGAGACTAAGAATCGTCTTGACAAACCCGCGACCTGGCCCTGCTTGAACCACCAGCCCCGTCAACTTTGTGTAGTGTACATGGCGAGGAGGACTTGCACGTTCGCAGGCTGGCATGTAGCACCGTGCTGCATCGCTATTGTCTTAAACCAAGTCGCGCCCAGTGGCGCCAGCCCACAACAAGACTCTTGCCCGCGAGCGCGGTCGAGCGAGCGCAAGGTGCATGGCTGTGCTGCTTGGCGAAGGCGGGCGAAGTTCAGCAGTACGAGAGCCAGGCCAGCTGGGCCGTCCCACCGCCATGAGAGGGACAAGACACTGCCACGCTTGAAGTTGCTCGAGGTCGGATCGTTGGTTTCACACGGTTTCGAGGCCGTGGCAATACTCCATCCTATGCTCGCGAAGCGGCTGTCGCTCAACGTCCTCTCGCCCAAGGCGCTGAGCCCGAGCGCCACGTCGCCCCGAGGTGCACGCGTCTGCGAGCCTACGAAGCGACATGGCGCCACTGCGCGTAGGCAAAGACCGCCTGCGCCTGACTAAGACGCCTGCGCCACCGAGCGACGAGAACCAGCGCAGCCCACCATTGACGCCGGTCGTCACGACGCCCGACGACGTCATCCACGAGGTCCAAGCGACGCTCACGAGCCTGCTTGAGCGCATGGACGGTATTAAGCCGGCCAAGTTGCGCTCCATCAAGCTCGGCGGTGCGCAGCGTCTTTGCAAGGTGCAGGACAGAGGCGGTGCAGCGTAGGCGAGCTCCGGGGGCTCCTAGGCAAGGCCGACGACGAGTTTGGCGCGCACGAACGTACGTTCCGCAAGCACGCGCACAACGATGGTCTGCAGATCCAGCTGCAGAACTTTGTCGCGAGCCTCCACGGCCTCTCGCCCGTCCTCGACTCGTATCGTTTGCGATACTTCAATTCTGTCTCGACTACAAAGCGACTAGAATCCAAAAGACGAGTTTTCTTGTCAACGCGTTTGTCAAGCGCAACGTCGAATTTGCCTTTCAAGAAATCTCGTCCTACTACGCGTCGATGGTACACTGTCATTTCGACTAGGACCGACTAATACGCTCCATGTTAGTTTACCGAGCTGTCGCTGGCTGTGGCCCATGCTTCGGGCTCGGCGGCCGAGGCAGCGGTCCTTGCCACCTTGCGCGCCGAGCCGCAGACGCCGGACGACGAGCCTTCACCGGGTGCGACAGAGACCTCGAGCTGCGTCGTCGTCACACCTGTTGCCAGAGGTGCAGTATCAAATGGGCCAGCAGCTCTTCTTGGGTCATGGCCGCGCCGCCAACCAGCACCAAGCCTTTGTTCACTACAAGGTCTTGGCCTCGGTCGTGCAGCGACGGCTCATGCGCTTCGTAGCTCGCCGCGGTCCAAGGACACATGGAGGCCATGGTGTGCCTGGCTCAAATGTACCGGGACGGCCGCGTCGTCGAGAGCGACCACGAAGCCGCGATGCAGTGGTGCACGCGCGCCGCCAGCCTCGGGTCCATCGAGGCCACGTTTGCGCTGGGGGACCTCCTCGTACGCTCGCACGCTTGCTACCAGTAAGCAGCGATGACCGTAGGTACAAAAGGCGCGTCTTCTCACCCACGTCGCGCGACGCCAAGAAACGTATGCTCTGGCGATGGTGCGACTGACGCAAGCCGCCGACCAAGGCCACCGGGAGGCCCAGTACGCTGTCGGTAACGCCTGGCACGTCACATGGAGCTCGCTTCACTAGTGATGTAGCACATTTGTACGAGATCGGTGCGGTCGGCGCCGTTCAATGGCAGCTGGCTAAGGAGGCGTACGTCAAAGCGAGTGACCAAGGCCACAGTAAGGCGCAGGAAGCCTTGGGGCGGCTTCACTATCACGGCCACGGCGTCGAGATGGACAAGACCCGAGCTGCCCACTACTTGCAGATGGCGACGCAGGTGCTTTGACGCTCAACAACACATTGACGACAGCCGCAATATATGTCCTAGAGCGACCCGAGCTTGCCGGATGCGTGGTATTTACTGGGCGTCATCTATGCCAATGGCGACGAAGTGCCCGTGGACAAGCCCCGTGCCAAGCGATGTTTTGTTAAAGTAGATACTGTCTCCTCTTCACGACAGCGTAAAGAGAGGGATTTGGATGACGTAGGCCGCCATGCTTGAGCACATGGACGCCCCAACCGAGCTTGCCGCGATGCTGCTCACGAGCGAGAGGGCACCCGTGGCCGATGACGTGGCGACCGAGGCGCTCAAGTGGCTCGTCTTTGTCGAGCCACCGACCGCCCGCGCCCAGTACCTTCTCGGCACACTCTTCGAACACGACGCCTTCCTCAATATACCCACGGCTCTGCGCTATTACACGGCGGCGGCCCGAGCGGTAGGTTGAGGAGCTAACTTGTACATTCTTTCGTTGGGATTAGGGTCATGGCGTGGCGGCGCAGCGTGCGGCGCAGCTCTACTACAGCGGCCACAAGGGCGGCGAGTTGCGCAGTGAGAAGCGATTGGCATTTGAAATGTATTTTATCGCAGCGCGCACGAGTCACGATGCCGAGTCGATAAACGCGCTGGGTCTCATGTACGAAGACGGCGAAGGCGTCGGAGTGGACATGGCGATGGCGGCCGACTGCTTTCGCCAAGCCGCCGACCGGCAGAGCGCCCACGGCCACTTCAACTATGCGTGTCTTCTCCGCGCCGGCCGCGGTGTCGAAAAGGATATGGACGCTGCCAAGCACCACTTTGAACAGGTCCGAACACGTTGTGTATCAAGTTGATACAAAGAGGGGTAGGCGCTCGCGCTCGGCTACGCCCAGGCGCGGCAGTTCCTCTCGACAACGAAATAGCAAGCTAAGATACAAAGGTGGTCGATGCTGCTGTACGCAGGCGGGGTGGTTCGAAGCTAGGACAACGACAAATCGCAAACTCAAACTCAATGTATCGCTTTCAGTGGTCCGGGCTCATGTCATTATATGTTTTTAGTCGTTGATCGATATCCGATATGCAGCAAAATAATCCGTTGCGCCACTGGCTCTGAAATTGTCTGGGTGTTGCCGAGCCAGCACTCGATTGGCTTGATCATCCTACTACAGTACCAAGTAGTACGGCGCAAGAGAGGACTCGCCAGGCCAAATGCACCTTGCCGACGTGAGCGCTTTGCGTTGGAAGAGCGCGCACCCGTCGCCGCTTGGCGCTGCCCGTGCTCGTTATCCGGATGAAAGTGAGCTGGCAAGCTGACCTGCGCGCATTATCCGGACAAATCATTGCGTCCTGCGAAGATGCAACGAAGGCGCTATGTTTCGTTTGTTAGCTGGTGACCATCTCGCGTCGGCGTACTTCAGCGGCGTGCTTCTCCCATCGCCTGAATCGCTGCGAGAACGATGTCCCACTTGCGCTTCCACACGAGCTTGCGTAAGTGGCGCTGGACCGCGCGCATGGCTTGGCGCACCGGTCTCTGTTGGCACATTGCGCGAATAATATCTTCGCGACGGCGCTTGAAGTACAATGTAAACGCGCGGCCGTCAATCTCTGGCGGCGCCCGCGGATCCACAAACTCGACAAGCAACGTGTCATCGGTCTCGAGGGACACGACCGTGTGGCCGTGGTCGACGATCGCATCTTGGTCCGTGGCGGCGCCATGTAGCAGCGTCGAAAAGTACGTACGGAGTGGTGCGTTGGTCGGCGGCTCCCACTGCGGCATGTAACAGACGCCTAGCACGAGCGAGACGAGGCGAAGTTGACTCGTTGGATCAAACACAAAGGAGATGCGACTCGCGCTGTCGTAGGTCGCTGTCGGAGGCAAGCACGGAAAGAGCTCCGCGACGTTCTCGAGGCGGCAGCAGACGCAGCGAGCCATGTAGTTGGGCAATTCAACGGCAGTGATCGGCATGTTTGGTGTCCACAAGTCGGACTTGAGCGCGGCGAGCGCGTCGAAACTCATACCGAGATGAATGCCGTTGCCGCCGAGCCACGGAGCGAGCCGATCGGGCAACGCGACCCGAGCAGCAGCAGCCAAGTGCGACCGATAGTAGGCTTCGCTAGCCGGGAGTTGCCGCAGGGCAATGGACCACCGAATACG